AAGAAAAACAATGAAAGGAATAGCATGTTGATCACACTAAGCAAAATATATTTCTTCTCGTACGTTACGGAGAACCAGGATAACAGCAATATCACGGCGCCAAAAAAGAAGATTAGGACCACATCCACGATTGATATGCTATATCCTATCTGCTGTGAGGGTATTAGTTGAATGGCATATGAACCGATGAAGAAGATATCCAGTTTTATCAATGTTTGCAATATGGTTATCGTCACGTACGCTTCGCGAATATTTATGTCAGCAGAGTAAGTTTTATAATTCTCCCATCCAAATTCTGTAAGCAGACCGTAGTGTCAGAGATGTATTAGAAAAGAGCGAATAAATGAAAAAGTAAATGACCAATAAATAACCTTTTGACAGTTTTATGCAGATGAGTCCCAAAAATACAGAAAATCCCCCCACTATTCCAATGATGGTGTATTCAATTGGTCTCATCCTTGATTCATAATATTGCTTGGTATAATCGGATGTTGGAAATTCAGTAGAATTGTTGAAATCACTTGGGCTCAATCCTTGATCCTCCAATATTTTGTGTTGGTAAAGTTGGATGGATGCGTAGGCAAGTGAGAGAAGGTTAAATACGACCAGCGAGACTAACTGGATCACGTTACGATGCCACAGTGCGTCTGCCGCTATTAATACTTGAAAACCCAGCGAGAGAATAAAGCTGAGAGTATAGAAAAGGAAAAATAAAATAAAGTTTAATAATATTGAAACCATCAAATTGTGAAATAATTTAAAGAAATGTGGAAGCATGATCACATTGCATGATATATCAAGTCTGCCTCAGATATGCCTTGGCCTTGTTGGTTCAAGGTATAGTGCGAAACATAATTAACGTGAAGGTATACGACGAAACTTTCTAGCACCGTTATCACTACCGCTTGCAATATGGTGGAAGCAAATACTATTTTTCCCGTAAGAGATAATTTGGGCATTTTCTGTTTTTAAATGTTGGGGAAAAGATAAATTCACACTCGCGTTTATATACTGTATGTATATATGGAAGGAAAAAAGAATGAAAAAAGAAAAAAAAAAAAAAGGGTAGGGTGCATTCCATTGTGAGACTAGGGGACGGTTAAATATATAGGTTTTGGAAAGATCCTTTAATAATTCAATATAACTGATGCGTAGAAATTGTGTCATATGAATAATTATACTAAAAAGACAATGCGTGTTACATACCACTATCGGAAATCGGGCTTCGATTTATCGTAGCGTGGGTTTAAATTCTTTTAATATATACTATACATCTGGACGTAGGTTGTCTACTTCAAGTATTGGAAATGTCTATTATGCCTATTTCAAGCAATTGGCGTATTACAGTTCAGAAAAGTACCATCGACATTTTTAAAGAACATTTTTGCTATACGCACGAGTCGACTAAAAGGAAAATTGAACTTGACAAGAGTGATATAGAGAAAGAGATTTCCAATGCGAAATTCTATCAAGACGGTGCTAAAATAGTGAGACCCATTGTGGCTGAAAATCAAGAAATTCCTCGAATTGAAGTCGTTGATGATGACTGTTTAAGTTATGCCCTGGATTTAAAGAAGAAAGGGATGAATCCGGTAGTTCTTAATATGGCCAATCCTGAGGTTCCCGGTGGAGGTAAAAAAAAAAAAAAAAAAACTTGTTGCTCACCGTTTACAAACGAAGTCACCCTTTTCATTGACTATCCGAAGGTTATCTCTATGGTGCAGCTGCGCAAGAAGAAAATCTGTTTCGCCGTACTAATCTGTTTCAGTACCACGACACCAAGTGGTATCCCCTACCCAATGCAGGTAAGATAATCTATATATCCTAGTGGCTATTGTTTTTACCACGATAATATTTATTTTTGTGAGTGTGCATTATATGCCTATACTTAATTACATCTATCTTAGGTGGAATCTATTCCCCTAACGCTTTGGTAATAAAAGATAATGAACAAAAAGAATATGAATTGTTGTTGAGTCCTGTGAAGATGTCGTTTGTGGTACATACATACATACATACTGTACATTCCTTCCACCATCTCCGAATTTTGTTTTCACACAGACCATTTGTCACTTAAGACGTTGGCCGCATTGTGCGATCCAGAGCTAGTGAGAGATTCTGAAGGTCGGGAAACCATGACTCCTGAAGGAAAGGAATTGACTCGGCACAAGATAAGGGCAATTTTAAATATCGGATTGGATAATGGTAAATGGACACCATGTGAACTACATCGAATCATTTCGATTTATTAACCCTTCATAAATTGATGACATAAAGGACACGATTCGATTGTCCTTAGTGCATTCGGTTGCGGAGCATTTTGTAATCCCCCGGCAACCATGGCGCAACTGTTCCGTGAAATAATTACTAACGAATACGCCGGTGGTGTAAATTTACCAAAAACCTATAGACACATTGGATTTGCCATATTTGATGATGAGATGTCAAGGCTTTTGAAAGGCGACGAAGGAAATTTGCCGCCATTCAAGAAGATTTTTGATAACTTTATTTGGTGAACTAGGATTTACCGCAGTCGTGTACCAATTAGGCCGTATTTTATTATGATATCCCGCATGTACGGGTTTTTATTTATTTGATTACATAAATTTGGGTTATGATTATATGCGTCTTATATGCGTCAACTCACGTTGCACGTGAATAACGTCATTAATGTGCTTTCGTTCACAAATAGGACGAAGCTCTACTAATTGAATCACCTCGCATATGATTTTTTTTATAGAAGTTTTTTATACTGTAATACCTATGGTACGAATAATTAACCATAATTAACCTACGTAGGTACCAGGGTTAATTCTTGAAGCTTCGAATTTTCATTCGTCTTTGTATTTTTATCTTTTATCGTTATACGATATTACAAATCAACATAACATAACATGATTGACTAGCCACTTAAGCAATTTCATCCAAGTTGTATACAAAATTAAAAAATATCATATATCCTTTTGTCGATTAAAGGGTTTTATTGTTCATTAGAATTATTAAATAAATTATAGTTTTGACTGAATTGTTTGTTATTATACAGTATATTGTATACTGTACTATATTTTACAATATGTTTTTTTGTTTTAAACTTAATAATAAAATATATATTATATACTATATGTAATATATAGTAAGTGATAAAAGATTTTTTAATAAGTATAATAAATTTGTAGGAATATTATTTATAATAGATTTTGATCTTAATAATCATCGAGATTTGGATTATTTCAATATAGCACAATTTTAAATTAATATTTTATATAATTAAAATTATTATTTTTTTAAAACGAAAGAAAAAATTTTTATTTATTTATTTAAACTTGATTTAATTTTTTTTTCGAATTAATTTTTTGTTTAATTATATTTAAATTATAATAAAATTGATTTTTTCTAATTTATTTTATTACTAATTATGAATTTTATTATATTGAATTTATTTTTATTTTTAAAATAAATGATTTTTTTTTTAATCTATAATTATATCATTATAATATATCTTTATTAAGATATCAAATAAATATCTATAATGTTATATTTATTTTTTTTTTTGAGTACCTGTAGTCAGGTTAGATCGTCAGTTTATTAATTAATTAAAAACAAAAATACATTTTCATTTGAGTAGCATAATACATACTACAACTAAACTATTATTCTAATCTAACTAACCCATCATAAGCATAAAAACCTCTAAGTTCAGCCTTGGAGACAATATTTCGTTCTGCAGTGTTTTTGGATAAAGACTCTCCTAGTCCACTGCATAATTGCCAGCAGGTTGTTACTGCCATATGTCTGATCAAACCACTAGAATATAAGAAACTACAAAAGGGTGGATTGAAAAAAGGGAAGGAGGATATCTAAAAATGTCTAAGTAGACAATAAGAAAATGAAAGAGTAAAAATTAAAAAAATATATTTTCAACTTCCTCCAAAGATCTACTTCTCATGATCTCTTTTCAATAAGAAATGCCTGATCGGGATATTCTTTTTTTTTTCTGACTATCTAAGGAACTTATCTATTCTTTATCTTGATTTTCTTCCTGTGTACTATCTGAGGAGACTTATCGCCTAGTAGAAGTTTTTACTTCTAAAACACACTTGGTACTAATCTTCTTTGAACAGTGATTTTTTATCTATCTATAGTAAAGAGACAATTTATGATGGATCACAGGTTCTTATGTGGCCTAGTAAAAACTAGGTCATATTGTTTCAGTATGATACCTTCCAGCAGCTACACCTAATTAAAAAAATTTTACTAGTATATATCTTCCATTACCCAAAAGATCAGATTCCCCAATAATTCTTTTACCTTATAATAATAGAAGAATCTTAGCAATAGTGAGAATCCTTGTCAATTGTGATATCCTTCAACAACTTCTGAGAAAATGCATTCTCAACTATAATCAAAGGATTAAAGCTTAATATGAACTAGAGACTATTTGATCTTATTGCCTAACTGGAATAAAAAGAAGATCTTGGTCTTGAACTTTATCTGACTGGGATAATAAGAAAGAAAGATTTCAGCTTGAATGAATAGTAGCTTTTTCACTACTTGGGGACTTG